ATATTCTTTTATAATTATAATTGTCATTTACTGTCATCGTTTATTATCACAATTTTAATAGTATTGATTGGTAATCTATAACATGGAATTATTTAATATTCTTTTTATTTCTTTGTTAATAAAATATTGATAATTTAGTTGATTTACAATGTACAGTGTTCCAGGAAGCACTTTAATATCATTTAGATGTACATATTGATAAGGATCCGAATGAGGATCGAAACGTATACAATTGTTCCACAATAAAGGATTTATTTATCACACACCAACATCTTGTGAAGACTCGAATGACATTATACCTCACACTTAGATTTATTCAAACGAGTCGATATAATATTATTTTTATATTTTAAATTAATATGTACTAGATTAATCGTTTTCGTTTTGTAACGCATAATTCGTCAGAAAAATCTGAGTCGCTTGCATCGCACTTATAAAAATCGAAACTATCTTCAACGTCGGTGTGGAGCCAGTCTGATTCAGCATGTGAGCTGTCGGATATCATCTCGTCGATGCTCGATTCTGATGTCTGCGAGTCCGTTTCACATGCTGAAGATATTGAAGATATATCTGCGTCGTACCATCGTCGTCTTCTAAATATTCTTCTTGGATTTCGTTTTTAGAAATTGAAGAATTTTTACAGTTTAGACCTGCGCAATGCCTACACGCAGCTGCGCACTTTATGCCATGTTTTTTGCAGGTCATAGTATTTCAATACGAGCATTCCAATCATTTGATACATTCTTCAACTACTAACCTTCTGATTTCAGGTAATAAAAGTCAGATAAAAAATTTATTTCTATAATTATTAACGAAAATTGGGGATCTGCATATGTTAACCACATTCCGCGTACATTATTTAATTAATTTGTTTATAAAAAATAGAAATTTATTGTTTAAACTCGAATTTTTATATAAAGAGGCGAAAAAAAATTTTTTTTCGATAAAATCGATTTTAAAAATATTTTTTTGGGGTTTTGACAATATTGATTATAACCATTTTAAAGAGCATAAAAAACCCTACAATTTAAAAAAAAAAGGTCACTTTCCATTGCGTGCCCAAAAGTTACAAGCTGATCAATTTTCAAATTGAAACGGGCATAACGGCCGTCCGAATGAATATTTTGGATTCAAATTTTTTACACGTAATTATGGTCATTAGATGCAACTTTTACTGCAATATCATTCAAATTGACCGATTAAAAAAAAACTTAAAAAATAAAAACGAAAATTTACCATGTACGGTGGTTTTTGTTTTTTTTTAAGGTTATGTTGCAAGATTTTCAATTTCATTATTATTACTTTTTTAAAGGCAATTTTATAACAATTTGGTATTTTTTTTTCTCTGTACGACCAGTAGAACCTGAGATATTCGCAAAAACCTGAAGAAGAAAACGTAAAGAACACTATTTTTTAAATAAATGTTAAAAAAACAATATTCCGGACCTCGAGGGATCTGGAAAACTCAGATATCCTTTATTCGTATTGCCTTTGACCCATTCACGCAAAAAAATTGCTCCTTGGGAACAGTTCCCTTTTTTTTAAAATCTCCGGTAATTTCCCTCTACCGGAATAGTGATTGCTTAATGCCAAAATTCCGTATTGATGCTGGTTGTGAACGTCATATAGGAATCGAAACAGAAGAAAGAATTTTGGAGATGATCGAGGAAGATCCTACGACTAGTACACGTATAATAAGCCGTCAATTACATATTAGTAATGTAACAGTCCATAAAGTATTGAAACGTGAATTGTTATATCCGTTTCATCGTACACAGGTACAGGAATTAACTGGAAGAGACTATCATGTCAGAGAGAATTTTTGTCGTTGGCTCCTATGTAATAATGAAGCTGACGAAAATTTTCTGAAAAACATAATGTGGACTGATGAATCCTTATTTACGCGCACGGGCGTATTCAACTGCCACAACCAACATTATTATGAAATTATAAATCCGCATGTGACACATACACGCAGTTTTAATACAGATGGAAGCTGAACTACTGGGCAGGAATTTTAGGCGACAGGGTTATCGGTCCGACGCTTTTACCAGATATTTTGACGATAAGAGGATGAAAATCTAAAAGATCGACTGACTTGGAATTTGATTGATTTGGAATATGTATCGATACATAGTAATGTGCTATGTTTCTTTTACAGGGAAGAAGTTACGCCAACTTTTTAATATAAAGGCTCCCAGATTTTTTAGAAGAAATTCC